AATGACAGTGCTATAAATTCCTTGGTAAATGAGCAGCCAACATTGTCTCCATGCATCCACACTGCCCTTCCCTCTGCCTCAAAACCTATAGGCCTGATTGATCCGGAGAAAACCCATTAAACTCGTCACCCACTGACTTCTTCATTCGCACAGGAACATTTCTGACAGCCCCAATACAAGGCTTGTCCTTCAAGGGACAACTTGCAAACACTTCTAAGAGAAAGGGTTGCCTGGGCGCCGCATGGCTCATGCCTGTAACCCCAACACTTTGAAAGGCCAAGGTGGGCAGATCACCTGAGGTGAAGAGTTTGAGACCACCCCCGCCAACATGGTGAAACCCCATCTGTACTAAAAATACAAAATTAGCCGGGTATGGTGGCATGTGCCTGTAATCCCAGCTACTCGGGAGGCTGAGGCAGGAGAATCACTCAAAACTGGGAGGCAAAGGTTGCAGTAAGCCGAAATTGTGCCACTGCACTCCACTCCAGCCTCGGTAACAGAGTAAGGCTCTGTCTCTCTCTCTCTCTTGCACACACACACACACACACACACACACACACACACACACATAGCCAGGCGGGGTGGCTCTCGCCTGTAATCCCACCACTTTGGGAGGCCGAGATAGGCAGATCACCTGAGGTCAGGAGTTCAAGACCAGCCTGGCCAACACAGTAAAACCCCATCTCTACTAAAAATACAATAATTAGCTGGGCATGATGGTGCGCATCTGTAGTCCCAGGTGCTTGGGAGGCTAAGGCAGGAGAACTGCTTGAACCTGGGAGGCAAACGTTGTGGTGAGCCCAGATACAGCCACTGTACTTCAGCCTGGACAACAGAGGGAGGCTCCATCTTAAAAAAAAAAAAAAAAAAAAAAAAGAAGAAGAGAGAGAGGGAAAGGGTTATTAATTTAATGCACTTATGTTCCTGTGTTTGTCAATTTGCTTAGGAGACACCCACACTTGAAAGCTGGGACTGTGGCCGTGATTGTGGACATGAAATACACATTTTCTGGCAAAAAATAGACACAGAATAATTACGATTTAGTTGAACTAGAAATCCATTTGGTTTTTTCCATATTTTTCCAAATTTTTCATCCTAATTTTTTTTTTTGAGACAGAGTTTCACTCTTGCCCCCCAAGCTGGAGTGCAATGGAGTGACCTTAGTTCACTGCAACCTCCACCTTTCAGGTTCAAGTGATTCTCCTGTCTCAGCCTCCTGTGTAGTTGGGATTACAGGCGAATGCCACCACGCCTGGCTAATTTTTGTATTTTTATTAGATACGGGGTTTCATCATCTTGGACAGTCTGGTCTCGAACTCCTGACCTCAAGTGATCTGCCTGCCTTGGCCTCCCAATGTGCTAGGATTACAGGTGTGACCCACTGCACCTGGTCCCATCCTAATATTTTAATCATATTAGAATTATTTATAAATCATTCCTGATCTCCTATACAATCTCATAATTCTTGCTATGCATGTGATGGTTTTTCATTTCCAGATGGTTCCAATCCTGAGAGAGAAAATATGAAATAATAAAATGGCAATAAAGAGAAATAGTAGTTACCTTTGACATCACGGTACACCTTCAAAATGTTATAAATGCTATGTTCTGTAAAACATAGAAAAAAATACACTCTCCCTGGGCACCAAGGAAATCCAAATGCATATGTTCTGTTAGGATTGACAAAAAATGGAAAACTGTGTAAAAGGATTTCATTAATCATAAATATTATGTGGACATAAAACTGAGCCTTGGATGAAACAAACAGCCTGTGTTTTATTGGAACTTGAAATATCCTGTACTTTCTGATAAAAACTTTAGAAAAGACAAATTATGGTCTAGTTTCAGGTGCGTTTGGGGATATTTTCTGCTTTTTGTTAATAAACTTCTAAAACTACACCTCTGTGATCACCCAGAAAAGTATTTTGGAAGAAATAATTGTGTCTACTGACATTTTTTGAAAACCCTTCTGATGCTTTGGGAGGCTGAGGTGGGAGGGTGATTTGAGGCCAGGAGTTTGAGACCAGCCTGGGCGATATAACAAGATCCCTGTTCTATAAAATAGTAATAATAATAATGATAATAACAAATTAAAATCAAAGTATTAGCCAGGCTTGTGGAGCACACCTCAGTCCTAACTACTCATGAGGCTGAGACGGGAGGATCACTTGAACCCAGGAGTTTCACATTGCAGTGAGCCATGATCCTGCCACTGCATTCCAGACTGGGGGACACCATAAGACTCTACCTCTGAAATGAAAGAAAGAGAGAGAGAGAGAGAGAGAGAGAGAGAGAGACTTAGAAAGTTTCATTTTCTTTTGACCTAAAATGAGGCCATTTTTATTTATTCGTCAGGAACTGGATCTGTGACTACATTCAATATACGTAGATGTTATCTCATTCATATTTGGTTAAAAAACCCCATGAGGCATCCCCAATTCTCCTAGATCTCCAGATCTAATAAGCAGGGTATAAGCCAGGGGCTGTCAACCTCAGCACTACTGATATTTTGGGGTAGATAATTCTTTAGGGAGGAAGGTTGTGCATGGTAGGATGTTTAGCAGCGTCCCTAGCCTCTACACACCAGATGTCCAAGTCCATTTTACTTAAAATACTCTTTAGTCCTTGTGTGTGAGCTCTCCTTCAGTTATTCCCTGGAGTCAGGCCTGGCTTTCTGGGTTCATTCCTTTGGTGACTCCTTCCACAACAGTTCTCAGAGACTTCATGGATGGAGGTTGTGCTGAGAGACAGGGCCTCGGAGATCAATCAAACTTTATTCCTTCCCCATGTGCCCAGGAGTTGCACTGAGGCTCAGGGGTAAGGGGACAAACAGGTACAGAACTTTGTGCTTTAGGGGCACAAGCTTCCATGGAGGACTGCAAGCTATGGTGATGTCCTTTGGGTCCAATAACACTGGTGCAGAAACTTTCTTCCTGCTCTGATTTAAGTAAAGTCACTTCCCTCAGGCAGGGCCAAGGAGTTATCAGTCTTTGCTTCTTGTCATATCCCTTCCTGGGGCAGAAACTCCATGCTATGGCATGGGAGCTGTGTTGGTTTGGGTTGCTCTGTCCGACAAAAAATGACTTCTGTGAATGTTTTCTATAGAGTGAGAGCTGGCAACTGGGAGGATGGTCACAGCTCAAGGACTGCTGCCACCTGCTTCCCAACAACCCTCCAACCCTGTATATTCTCAGCATTGAACCAATGTTTCTTGACCTGTATCACCTACCCAATGTCAATCTTCTGCACCAGTGAGCTGGGTAGGTGAGAGTTGCCTAGTCTACCCAGGTGTCCAGTCTACCTAGGATAGCTCTTCTGCAACACAAAGCTTTAGGGGACAGGAGACTCCATTCTTTGCTGGCTGCCCCTCTCAAATTCTCACTTTGGAGTGAGAGTAGAAGGTTTGAAAGGTGCCATGACAAGGCAAATAGATCTCCTGTGCAAGAACCTCGGGAGATGGAACCTGCTGTCACTCACCCATCAGTCTTTCACATGGGGAGCTGGGGAAGAGAGGAGCTGCCCATGTAGCTTTCAAGTCCACTTGAAAAATGGATCTCACAGCATGGAGCTGGGCAGTTGGGAGCTACCCCATCTCCAGTGCTACAGCCTTCCATGTTCTTACTGAGTTTCAATGGGTTTTGTGGAAAAAAATGCTTCTCATCCACTGCTGACAGGAATTCAAATTGGCATTAGCTTTCTGGAGGGAAATTTGGCAGTACCTAACAAACCTACACCTGCATTTATCTGTGACCCAAGCAATCCCACTACCATGAGCACTACCCTTAAAAAAATACTTCCAATGGCACAAAAGGACATCAGCAGAGTGTATTTATAGCAGTCATGTGTGTAAATGCGAAATGTTGGAAAATCCTAAATCCCAAACATAAGAACTGGATATATAAACTATGATTTTCCTGAACATCTTAGTGAATTATCTGAGGCTATCAGTTGGCACGGGGGCAGTTTTCTAATACTGAACATTCCTTGCTTGAGAAGCAGATATGCCAATCTCTGCAAGGGTTTTGGTATGTGTGTTATCTCATTAGTCTTCGTTCTCTAAGGTAGTTGTTATGATTATTCTCATTTTAGATGAGGAAATTGAAGCTCTGAGAGTCGAAGTACCTTTTTAAGGGTCCAGACATAGCAAGAAAAACAGGTCTTAATTAAAATCTGAGAGTGTTCAAATGCTTTGCTCCTTAAAATCATGCTGCCTTCTTGATAAAATCCATTCCGGTTTCATTATAGCATGGTGAGGAATATAAGGAGGGAGAGACGTGATCACCGTGAAAATAGAGTAAGTGTGATACAGCAGGTTCTGCTGATAAAGAAACATAGAACCGTATTCATTCCTTTGAAACCAAACTCAGTTTCTTAGAAATTAAAAGGACTTCTTTTAGCTTCTGTGACTTTTTTTGCATTTGTTTTGTTTTTTGTCTTTAAGATTACTGGAATGTCAGTAAACAACTTGAAAATAATTTTAAATATTTGTGCTATAGAAGTCAGGAAAGGGCCAGGCGTGGTGGCTCACACCTATAATCTCAGCAGTTACGGAGGCTGAGGAAGGCGGATCACCTCAGGTCAGGAGTTGGGGACCAGCCTGGCCAACATGGTGAAAACCCAGCTCTACTAAAATTACAAAAATTAGCGAGGCATGATGGTGGGCACCTGTAATCCTAGATACTTGGAAGGCTGAGGCAGGAGAATAGCGGGAACCCAGGAGATGCAGGTGGCAGTGATCTGAGATACGGCCACTGCACTCCAGCTTGGGTGATAGAGCAAGACTCCATCTCGGAAAAAAGACAAAACAAACAAAAAATACAAATCGCGGAAGGAGAGAAACAGCAAAACCTTTTAAAAAAAATGTCATGGCAGCTGGCTGAATTAGGATTAAGGAGGAGGGAAGCTATCTGGAAGATCTAGGGAAACGGGTCCTAGATGTAATGTGTTCTTGGTCCGCAGATTCCACATTCACAAACATTGACAAAGAGACACCACAAGCAGAAGTTGCAAGCTGACTGTTTTATTGGTATATTGAAGTTAGAGCTATGGCCACCTTATTCCAATGTTATGGCATTTGAATCACCTGAATCACTGTCATCTTCTTCTTCACTTCCTGAAACAAACAAGAAAGTTCATAGAGCAGACGTGACATGGCAGGAAATGTCTAGTTCCTCCCTGGAGTTACTGCAGTAGAGTACATGAGAGCCCACCCTCTCTCCCCCATTCCTTCTCCCTCCTGTGTTTCCTTCCTAATTTTTTGTGTGTTCACTCTTTTGATGCCCTGGCACACAATGTGTTCCAAATTGTTGCTTAGAAGATGAAGAGAAAAGATCATTTTTAGCTTGTTGTGACTCTTTGCTGTTGAATTTCTTCAGGGGTATATTTACACAGATGCTAATTGGAACATGTTCTATAACAGTGAGAAGATGAAACCACCTTCAGGGTAGAGTGATAGGAAGTGGTTAAAGAAATCATGGTACAGCCATACAGTGGAGTACCATAAAAATGTAGAAACAAACAGAAAACCACTGAAGAGATCTACTTAGCTTCATAAACTCATGTGGACATTTTCAAAGAAGTGTATTTCTAATGACTGACATACGTACCTGCATATAAACTATGGTATTAATTCTGGGGAAAAGAATTCTATATATCTATGTACACATAAATATTTCAAAGAGGAGATCTCATACAGTTAACAGTGGTGGTTTTCTGAAGGAAGAAAGGCAGGTAGGATGAGTTCTGACTTTCAATTTAGGTTCATATTTTTCCATTCCATTAGGTATTTTGTTAGCTTAATCATGTACTTATTGAAAAGTAAGTATGTAAAAAATGAGACACCACTTAGCTGCTGAAAGTTCAGGGACCATTTGGCAGGAATACTGGACTGAAGAGGGTGGAGGCAGGACTCAGCGAAGAGTGCTCAGGTGAAAACTTTAGAGGGGAGGGCTCTGAGTTTGTGTACCAAAACCAGAGCACCAGAAAGAGAGAACATGGTACTAATTCCTTGTTGCAAACACAATTCTAGACATATTATATGGAATGCTGTTTCTCAACATCAGAATTCCTTAAAGGGTTTGTTAGAATACAGGGACTTGTTACCTTATTCCGGAATATCTGAATACAAGTCTTTAGAAATGAGTTCTAGGACAATACAATGTCAACGGGCTTTTAGTTGATTCATTGGCACAATACAGCTGGAGAACTGCAGCACTTAGAGCCCTTGGTGAAGTATACACTGTAATCATACCTGTCGTTGAATCCTAGATTACTGAGAAGGCTGTTCCTGGGGAGGTTGGGTTGGTTTGCCCTCTTGAGGAGGTGGAGGTGATCCCTCAGGCTTTCCAGCATGAGGTGGGTGAGGCTTGTGGTGATGACCTCCTGGTGGGGGTGGTCCTTGCGGCTTTCCTGGATGAGGTGGAGGTGGTCCCTCCGGCTTTCCAGCAGGAGGTGGGTGAGGCTTCTGGGGATGGCCTCCTGGTGGGGGTGGTCCTTGTGGCTTTCCTGGAGGAGGTGGGGGACGTTGGGGCTTGTTGCCTTCTTGTGGGGGTGGTCTGTGCTGAGGCCCATCATCCTGGCTTCCATTACCAGCAGGTGGCTTAGGTGGGTGTCCTCCAAAAGGTGGTCTCTGAGGCTTCTCATCTGAGCTCTGGTTTGAGTGTCCTCCATCTGTTGAAGTGACACCAGAAGAGCCAAGTTCAGTGATAGAAGAACCTCCTCCCTTTATACCTCTCTATCCTTAGCACACTGTCCCTGTCTCCCAGAATGTGCCTGTCAACTACTAACATCCCTTTTGCTCAAGGCTTTCATAGGCAGAGTTCCTTTCATCCACATCTGGGTCATGAAAAGTCTCGTTTCTTTGTGCCCGGGACAAGTATGTCTATTTTAGGCTAACCAAAACCTACAAATACACAAAAAGGTCTTGGATACATTAGAATCTCCAGAGAGGAAAAAGAGAATGATGAGAAACATCAATCATGCAGCCAGGTATGATGCCAGCTGCCTCAATAACTTGCAGACTGAACGCCATGCCTGGGCACCTGAGACATACGTGGGCACTAGACCGGGTGGCACAGGCCCCAACATCCAAGTTGAGAAATATGAAGAGAGAGAAGGGAAAGACAGAGTGACAGCCCACACAGGATTCACTGAATAGTTGTAGCAATTTTTTATCAGCTACGGTAAGGCAGCTGAGTGGGGAAAGGCACAGAAAAGGGACCCAGACACTAATTTCTTTGCATTTTCAATGAAGTCACAGAACTCTGGAGTGGAACGCTGGGGGAGAAGGAAGCAGTTGAGGGGCTGTCAGTATAAGGAGGGGTCAGGATGAGGATGCTGCCCATTTGTCTGTCATCTCCCATCAGACACTCCTGGCCTGGGGGAAGGTCAGCCCACTCCTGTTGTCATCTAAGCCAAGCATCTCTGCCATTCAATTTGGTTGCCCCGCTCATGGTCCCAGAGTCAAAGCTGCATGAAGATAGGATGTATCACTGGAGCACTGACATTAATCAATTCCTGAAAGGAACGTGCTGATAAGAAGACACTGGGGAGCTGATCAATTTGTAAGCAGAAAAAGAGAGTCAAAACAGATTGAGAATGAACTGGGATTTACCTGATATTAGGGAGGGAGCTTGTTCCTGGCTGACATCTAGAAGAGAAGCACAGATGATGAGAAAAGTTACATCTGGAATCTTTCAAGACTCACAAGTGTTCTACAGGGAAACGGGACTTCTGACCACACCCCATGCATCCCCTAGGTTAACTGGTCAGCCACCAACTGTGAAGCTGCTGGAAGGGGAGGAAGGAGGAAGGTGTAAGGGGAGGCAGGGTTGTTACTCCACAGAGCAACAGCCATGAACTCGACACAGAAGCGCCCTTTTTCTTCCTCCCTAGGATCCCTCAAGACTTAATACAAATGTAGCTTACACATGCCAGGTACTTCAGTGTGATATTTTGGTATTGTTATGCCCTAACTGTCCTGTAAATATGTTGCTTATGTTCATATGATTTCTCAATAGGAGTAATCAGAAGTAATCATTTCAGTACAATCTTACCCATACTACTCCCAGCACATTGAAATGCTGCATGCAGGGGAGAGAAAAATGACAATTATTGGCTCTCATGTTTCTATATCTCTAGGTAGACAGAGACAGGTGTTTTATCCAATACTTTGTCTCTGCGGTATCTCTGATGTGTGTTTACCTTCATCATCGATGCTGATCCACCATCAGCAAGGCCACCATCATCCGGTCTACTTACTGAGATGACGACAGGATCTTCACAGCTGGACTTCCCTGACTCTGTCTTGCATTCCCCACTGCATCCTTCACAGCACAGTCATATCTCTCTATAAATGCAAATCTTACCTTCTCATTCCCCTGGTACACATTCATTATTGCATTTTCATTGTATATTAAATAAATTAGAAGCCCTTGGCGTGGAATGATGACACAACAGGTCTCCTGATCCTAGGCATGAAAACTCTGCAGCCCCATCTGTTTTCATTCTCCTCTCTGCCCACTAATTACCACTGTTACCTCCTAAGCCCCAACCAGAGTAACCGCATCTGCTCCCCGGTCTGTTTTACCTTCACTTAAGCTCTGAGCTGAGCTCAGGGCCAGCAGGGCCGCTGACAGCAGAATCAGCAGCATCTTGCAGGAGGTTCTGGAGTTGCCCTCAACTCTGTGATGGGAGAAATGTGGCAGCTCCCTTTATACAGAGGAGCAGAACAATGTCGCCTTTGAGCTTCACACTGGATGGGCCTTACCATGCAGACACTGGGTTCTGCTTTGCTCACTGCAGGTCAGGTGTGTCCCTTATTTCCCTTTGGGACTGTAGCCCAGAGGAATGTGTTGGGTGGATGTTGTTTGTGTCTTATTTCTAAAAGGTACAACTATGAATCGAACAAAGGTTTTAAAGGAACTGTGTCCAAGCAACCAGCACTGTGACATAATTGAACTTCAGATACCATCAGAGTTTCAATCTTTTTGACAAGACTGTTCTCTACTATTCACTGTAGTATTTATTGCTATGTATATGTGTGTGGGCAGCGAAGCTACAGCTAGCAGTGAGGATGGTCAATATCTTTGACTTTTTAAAGAGCCTATATCCATCTGTTGTGATGTGTGTGTACAAATTGTTTCACATTCAGCTACATTTTTGATGTGATGGTGATGGTTTCTGCTATCTGTGAGATGTGTGAGGACAGCACACTCCTGGGCACACAAAGATGACAGAAAGCTGCACCGCAGCCTGTTTAGGCTACACGAATTGTCCAAGCTTCTCTGGATCTCACTCAGCTCAGGCAAGGCTTGGTGTCGTGCAACACAGCAAGGCCAAAATTGTGTGTTGTAAAGTATCTTCAGGGATTATTAATCTGAAATGGACACAGAAACCACCAGGATATTCCTAGACTGAGAAAACTGAACACACAGTTCCTTGAGGGAGCCACACGATGTCATGTCACCAAAATTTCCTTCATGATCTTCCCTTTCTGTAGAACATACCATCAAATTCACCCTCAGGCTTATTTTCTTAGAAATTATTTGAATTCCCACCACTGACAATTAAATGGTCACAATTCTGCATTCAAATAAGGTGTTAGATATCCCCAACAAATGCTCAATTGCATTGTATAGGTTTTCTTGGTTTAGTCAGTATCTGTGTTACCTGTTTTCTCAGATTGTTCTTCCACAAAGAGTACTTTTTCTACAATCTTCTAATATGCATTCCTCTTGATGTTCTTTCTGGTACTTCTTGGTTCATATTTGATTTTCTGAGTCAAGCCCACTATGTATATTTTTCTTCATATATCTGGCTTTTCCCCAACAAGTTTTATAAGGTTTCCTTTATTTAATCTTCTAAGTAACAGGCGGTAGTAGTCGTCACCATCTTTGTTTCATTCTTCTCTGTGTAATTTCACAATAAACGTTGTGTTTCCAAAAGCCCTAACAGAGTCCTGCCATGGTAGCTCTTGTTTCAGCTGCTGATTGTTCTGTTATACCTAGTAAATCCCTGCTCACCAGTTCATGGAATATACAGGCGAGTCAATATCAACAACTGCCATTTACCACTTAGACCTTCAGTGTGTCTTGTGTACTTGTTCACATTTTGTGTACAGCTGGTTTTAATTTGAGGACAGCTTGGTTGGAGGTATGATGAGGGTGGAGAGGATGTGTGACAGTAAATCATAAAGACAGACCTCATGACCACTGTGGACGGGTAGATCCTGGGCTGTGCAGAAGAGGGTCTGGTCTGGCCCTTCAGAAGGTTTACAGGTAATAGCACAGGAAGACTTCATAATATAAAACATTTTGCTACAGTACTACAGGTAACTTTGCCCTTGCAAGGGAACCAGGAAGATCGCTATTTTCCATGGCATAAATATAGGCATACTTGAAGGGGAAATACATTATTAATTGGCAATTCTTCTCTGGTTTGGTAGGAAGTGAATTGGTTCTAGCTGAGCTTCATGAACTTTATCTTAGGCAGAGAGTAGTTGCTTGGTCCAGCAGGTCCCACTGTGTTATCGAGATTTGTGTCTCTGGTCTCACCAGACAGTATTTTCCATAGGAAATGGAGATGAGCAATCCTGCCTAGGTGGCTTACGTTAGATCATCAGGTAACAAAGGAATGTCAGAGAAAAGGAGCAGCAAAGACGCCAGGCCAACATTGCCTGATAACGTGGCCAACTGAGGTTGCTGCAGGCCTGATGCAAGACAGACTTGACATTGGAGGAGAGAACAGGAAGAGAACAGGTAATGCCCCTAAAGGTCACTCACCTCAGGCCCTTTTTCTGACCTTCTCCAATGTCAGAAATGAGCAAAGTGTTTTAGGAAAGCATAAATATCAGCTATGCACTCCAGACACAACAAAAACAGAAGTGATGGAAGAACTGAAAGGACAATGTCTGTGAGTGAGGGTGGGTGGAAGGGAGAAGCAGGACTGCAGCAGGAGCTTGGGCACCTAGAGGTGAGTGGCAGCCCTCAGCACTCCACTTGCCTTCTATAATGGATGTTCATATTCTTAGGTTCTGCAGTAACAGTGTTCAACATGTGGAATTTTAGGAAACACAACTCAGCCCTCATAACAACTCCCAACCTTTTCTAAGTCACAGGTGTTCAGTGGCTCAAAAATCCTCACTTCCTTCACCCACTGACCATTAGCAAATTGAGTTGCCTCCAGTTTCAACATGCATTCAAAATGCAATCACATGCATAATCTTTACTAGAAGGTATAGCTGAGGCCGTGATGCTGTCTCCTGAAGGACGTTCACATCCTCAGCTGCTCTTGGTAACGTTCTACCCCAGCACGTCCCATGTCAATTCCCCTCATATCAGTCATTTAACAGTAGGAATTAGATCATAACACTTTTGTGCTTCAAATGCTCTTAGGGTCTCCTTCTGCACTTGGAATAAGATCCAAATTTCATCCTCAGCTC